AAAAAGAAAGGTAGGCTTCAATCTAATATGCCTAGCGTCGTTATAAAGAGAAGAAACAGACACAGAAGGAAGATGTAGGCAAAGGTTGCAGTGATACTGTCTGAAGCTAATGAATGTCTAGGCTATCAGAATTTGTAGGAATCCTGGTGGTACAATGGTTAAGCATTCCTTTGATAAGAAGAAGTCAGGGTTTAAACACACCGGCCACTCTTCAGGGGGAAAAGACTGATAATCTGCTCCCACCAATATTTATAGCCTAGAAAACCCTATCACATAAGGTCACTTGGGGTTGGAAGTGACTTAACGGGAAATCACATCAGAAGCTAAAGACTTAAGAAAAGATTATTCACTAGAGAATTCAGAGATGGCAGCACCCTGTGACACCTGAACATCAGACTTTCAGCCCCCGTAACCACAAAAGAGAAAAGAAAAATCGAGTTTGTAGAACTCTGTCAACTCTTATCTATGTGTTGATTATATAGCACGGTTACATGCCACTAAGATGCTGAAAGACATGGTACTAATATTATTAAGAACAGCTCGGTCATTCATGGTGCACAAGCTTTCTAGACTAAGATAGACAAGGAACAAAGAGATGGTAATCTACTTTGGAAAATCAGATAATAAAAACCCTATAATCACCACAGTCTAACCCACAACCAATTATGAGGAAGATACAGAACTGAGCACCATCTTGTTCTGTTGTATACAGAGTTAGTGTTAGGCAGGGAGGAATAAGGAATGAGCCATAAACCACAATGGAATGTCACGCTCTCCCCTTCCCCCTCCCTGAAGGGCCTGCTATAAAATCTTACCCAAATACACCCTAAGTATAACTTCCTCAGACTTCCTTTCCAGATCAAGGAACCTCGCCCATGAGCTCCCTTAATAAAGCTACTTTTAAGTTTTCTTGCTCTCTGGTCCCATTCTTAAGTCCATGACCTTAAGACTCTACAGTTAGCATGAATTAAAAACCAACAACAGGCATAATATGAGAGGATAAAAGTCATTGATGGATGAGGAGAGACAGAAGGATTGCTTAAAGAAATGAGTCATCAGCAACATAGATTCTGGTAGTTAATTTCCTCAATTTCTCCTCTGATTGGGCATTTGGTTCATCCTAACTCTATTGTCATACACAGTCTTGAGATGGAATAAACTTGAAGGAAATAGTCATTATTATATTTGCCATCTAGTTGCCATCAACACATGGTGCCCTTAGCTATAATAAGATGGAGCACTGTGTGGTCCTGCATCATCTCCACACTCATCTGGCTGTTTGAGTCCACTGGGGACTGCCGCAGCTATTGCGTCAATCCATCACACAAAAGGATCCTCTCATTTTCATAGACCATCCACCAAACACCATATTAGTCTTTCCCGAGGGCCAAAGTAAGACCGTCTTGCCCTCTACATTTCTAAAGAAATGAAGCTGTACTTCTTTTTAAGACCAGTTTGTTTATTCATCCAGAATTACACAGTATATTCTATCCCAACACCATAGTTTGAAAGCATCAAGCAGGATTGAAAAGTAAGGTCATCTCAAAGAGCCATGTGCTTTTTAACATTTTTCAAAAATGGAGTTTTGATAGTAAATATCCTTGAAGATGTGTCCCGATGTGTGGTGCTCCCCAGACTGTAATCAAGCTCTCCTCTCTCCAGCTACCCCAGGTGAAATGGGGCAGCTCCTTGACCTTGATTCAACAGTGCAGTTGCCACAGTTAATGAAAGCTAGCAGGCACCCGAGCTTGCTCCGTTGGCTTTCTCAAGCCCCTGCTGCATGGCTCATTTCCATCCTAACTGCATTTCTAAGCAAATTAAGCACAAACTAAAGAAAATATGAGGATATAATGAGGAACCTTGAACAATACATTTTTTTTTATTCTCAATTACTTTAGGAAAAAGTCTGAAACCAATTTGTTGGATTTGTGATGCCATTGTTGTGGCCTCAAAAACCGGTTTTGATTTGGGCAGACATTCCAAGTAGGTACACTGAGAACTCAACCTAAACTAGCCAGTTAATTTAATTTTACATGCATGTTTTATTTCCAGGGAAAGTGCAGATAGGGCACATGATATTCTAAGATGTAACTATGTTAACAGGGCAGAGGCCATTAAAAATGCTTGCTTTCTCTACACATCCTGGTGACCTCAAGATGAGATGGATGGTAATTGATATAGCACTTTCATAGTTATGACATAAAATATCCTATTGTGCCAGCATAAATTACATTTCTAATTTCTGATTTTTAATTCTTTTTTGCTAGTAATAGATGAAAAAAGCAATTCAATAGCATTGCCCATATACTTCCTTTAAGTTACAAGTATTTCTTACTTATGTCTGCTACCTTAAGAAATTCCTCATTCTATAGAGTATGAAGCCCTAAACAGTTTTAAGGAATTGGCCAAGTCTCCAGCAAGAATCTTTCTGATCTTTAACTGCCTTGGTTGTCTCAATGAGCTTCTATAGCTGAATTCCTATACTTATTTTGTATTCTATCCCTTTCCAACTGATAAATGGGCAAATGGTAAACACTGATATATTCTACAGCACAGTCTCCTTTACTGGGGATGGAGGAGTGTCCTGCTATACTAATTATGCTCTCTTGTGGTTGTTACTTGCCACTCACTATGGTTCAGCACCAATTCTGTAACTTCACATGATTTGGACTACTTTTAGGTGCCATAGAGTTAGACACAACTCATAGTACTATGAACAAGAGATAGAAATTGTGCACTTTAATGTACTATCTTCACAATCTGAGATACTTTTTTAAAGCCAACTGTAGCAGTCACTGTATCAGCAGAGAGTCTTCCAGGGTCGTCTTGTCTTTCTCTATCCCCTACTTTTCCAAGCATGATGTTATTTTCCAAGAATGAGCCCTTCTTAGCAACATTTCCGAAGTTTAACTATCTTTGCCTCCAAACAGCACCTTAGTTGCACTTCCTCAAAAACATTTTCATTTGTTTTTTTGGCAGCCTGTGGGGTATATTCAACACTCTTCAACAACACAGTTCAAAGGTTTCTAATCTTCTGTCATCCTGATTCATTGTCTAACTTTCAAACACATATGAAGCAATTGAAAATAGTATGGCTTGGATAAAGGACACCATATTCTTTAAACAAATATCTTTAGTCATTAACCCCTTAAAGGGGTTCTTGGTAGAAAATTTTCTCAAAGCAGCACATCTTTTGATTCTTTGACTGCCGCTTCCAGGAGTATTGATTGTGGATCCAAGTAAAATGAAATTGTTGACAACTTCAATCTTTTCTCAACTACAATGTTGCCTAGAAAAAATTGGTCTAGTGATGAAGATTTTTGTTTGTTTGATGTTGAAATGACCCATACTGATGTTTGATCTTTTTCAGTAAGTGTTGTTTTGTTGTTTTTGTTTTTGTTTTTTGTTTTTCCCTGAAAGCCCAACTTGTGTCATCTCCATACCACTGGCTGCTGCTGAGTCTTCCTCCAATCTACATGCCACATTCTTCCTCTAATAGTCCAGTTTCTCAAATTACTTGTCCAGCACAAAGCTTAAGTAGGTTTGGAGAAAGGATATAACCCTTAAGCCTAACAACCCACCATTCCTAATTTTAAAATAAGCAATATTCTTTTATTCGTTTTAGACAACTGCTTCTTGGTCTATGTACAGATTTCACATGAGGACTAGTAAGTTTTCTGCAATTCTCATGCTTCTCAATGTCATCCATGATTTATGATGATCCACACAGTTGACCACCTTTGCATAGTCAATAAAACACAAGTCACCATCTGAGGCCTCTTGTTCCATGTCCTGTTCTGAACCAAGCTTGAAGTTCTAGAAGTTTCTTGCAATGCACTGTTCAGAAACAGTTTCATAATCTTCAGTAAGGTTTTACTTATATGTGATTTTGTTGTTGTTGTTGATAGTCTTCGAGTCAAGCACGACTCATAGCAAACAAAAGGCCTGAAGTCTTTCTATAACTATCGACATGCATCAAAGTTCATAGAGTTCCCAGGGGCATGTTGTATTTTCCATATTCAATTTGATCACCTTTCCTTGAATCAAGAAGAAATATGGATCTCTTCCAGTCTGTTGGCCTAGAAGCTATGTTCCAAATTTCTTGGTATATACTGGTGATCACTCTAAGGCTGCAACTGTTTGCTAAAACACTTGGAGTGGTATTCCACCAATCCCTGAAGGCTTACTTTTTGCCAATGCATTCAGTGCAGTTTGGACTTCTTGCTCAGTACTATAGGTTCTTAGATACATGCTGTTACTTGAAATGGTACTGTTTTTGATGTGACTGAGTACACTCATCCCATCTTCTGTGGATGGTTTTTGCATCATTCAAGATTTTATCCAAGGAATTGCAACTCAAGGCCTCAATTTGTCCTTCAATTCTTTCACTTTGAGAAATGTTAAGCATGGTCTTCCTTGTTAGGTTTTATTTTTAAGGTTTTTGCACATTTTGTTAGGATGCTTTGTCTTCTCAAGCTGCCCTCTGAAATCTTCTGGTAAGTGCTCTTCATAATTTCTGACCTTCATTTTGGCTTCTCTGAATTAAAAAGCAGCTTTCAAGTCTCCTTTGCCATCTATTTTGTTATTTTTTTTTATTCCCTGTCTTTTAATTTGGGTTAGGAAATAACTTTCAGTGAAATAGATGCTGACATATCCCAACACAGATCCTTTCATCAAGTCCATGTATCTTTGCCTTAGCTTTTATGAATAATAGCTGCTTATGCTTCTCAGATGCACTCAGAACTCGCCTCTCTATTAAAAACTAAAACCAAACCTACTTCATGAGGTCAAGTCTAATAGAATGACAGTAGTGAACCGAGTGGAACTGTTCCACAGGGTATCCAAAGTTGTAAACCTTTATGGAAGCAGACTGCCATATATTTCTCTAGCATATCAAGTAACTGGTGAGTTCAATACAGCAGCCTTTGCTTCACATCCACGTGGTTAGCTGCTATGCTACAAAGGCTCCTCCACATGCTAAAGTACCCTCCTTATCTCACCCTGGTATTCCACAGTCAATAACTGGCTGACGACTAAAAAACTGGCCCCATTAACATAAGTGGCAACAAGTTCTGCTGTGTATTTTGTGCTCCAGAACATCCCTGTGACGACAGGCTGAGGTTTGTCCAGATGAGACCACATCCTTGACCTGCCCAGTTCCTCTCATTGGCCTTGGCCTTTTCTCCAATCAATTCCTCAACCAATCACAGGAGTCGAACAAGAATTCTCTTTTCAGGGTCTCCTTCTAGAGAACTCAACTATACCAATTCCCTGGGGCTTGTGAAACAAATATTTATTCTATTACAATTCTAGAGTGCAATTACTTATAGAATGTGGTCCTCTTGAGGGCTCTGAGAAAGAGGTCTCCTAGAGCGCAGTGTTTGCCTCTTTGGCTTTCTTTTGCTTACAGATGTATCAATCAATCTCTGCTTCGTTGTCACTTTGCTTTACTCATCCTATGTCCTATTTCCAAATCTCCCATTCCTTTTTATTACAAAGACAAGGGAGCTCGAGTGGCCTAGTGGTAAGAAGTTGTGCTGCAATCACAAAGGTTCGTGGTTCAAATCCACCAGATGCCATGCTGGAGAAGGAGATGCAATCTTCTCCTGTGCCTGTCGGATCTGATTAGACCATACACAACAAGGGGGGGAGGGAGAGAAAGAAAAGAGAACAGAGTGGTTGTGCCATTTCAAGGGAGCTCTGGTGGCCGAGTGGCAAAAAGCTGTGCTACAATCCCTTTTTATTACAAAGACAACACTCACTTAGAGCCCACTCTATGTTTAGGATGATGACATCTCAAGGTCTCTCACCTATGTAAACACCCCTTTCTAAATAAGGTAAACATTCAAAGGTCCTAGTTGAATATGAAATTTTAAGGAGATGTTGTTCAACCTCTATAAAAACCTAGAATAACTGAATAACCATCAGAGTCAGTACAAAAAAAAGAGTCCCTGATCTCCCCTTTGATGCTATGAGAAGGATACCTGGATAGACATGCAGTCTGATCATGTATTTAGGAGTTGGGGAGGGACAATGGAAGCCTCTTATCCTGTGCTGACCTCCATTACTACAGGGAAACCAAGAGAGCAATTTTTTGAGACTGCAATAGTCAGACTACGGGCACCAGGCCGTGTTGGTCTAGGTGCCAGCTGTTTGAAGCATCTGTTTATCTGTTCAGGAAACCCACATGGCCATCGCCTGAGTACCTCAGGGACCCCCTCACAGCTGGGATCAGGTGCACTCCTTCTGGCCAGAAGGAAGGCATGGCTCTCATGGGAAGAAGAAACTGGGTTCAACACAGTCACCGCTTTTACTGAGAACAAGGTAAGAATAATAGCTGGGCCAGTGCTAAACAAATAAGAGTCCTCTTCAGGAATTTCTTTCAGACACTTGTGTTTGTAATACTATACATGCGAAGGTATGAATCAGACTATTACTTGGTTATCATGAGGGCTTGACCCTAAAACTAATGTTGTTCTTTACTCTAAAAATTCAATATAAAGTACATAGAGGGGAAAATCCATTAAAATGTTCAAGGAAAAGATAAATATTATACTTCATAGTTGTAATTGAACTAAGTTATAATGGAACTAAGTTAATAATGGGGACAAGAGTTAAGAGACAAGGACTGACACAGAGAACTGACAAGACTATGCAGGCTCTAAAGCTGCCTGAGATCCTTGGTGCCTATTAACTGCAGATTCATAAGATCCAGTTCAGGAGCAGCATCCATTCTCCCCATCACCCCGGGCCAAGCAGCTCACAATATGAGATTTCTTGCCCTTCTATATAATCTTTACTATAACATTTTCTCTTTTACAGGAAACTAACTTAGTCTAGCTAGTACATGAAATGAGTCAACACAATACCCCAGAAAATTGTAAATATAAAAATAAATCCATGGATTTCAACCCAAATGAAAACCTTTCTATTTCTATCTGAACACAGAAAAATTCTATTAGACACACACAAAAATATTTACATTGAAGCATCTTCATTTATTTGTACTTATTCTATTTCTGACAATGGTGAGATTCAGGGTAGTAAATATCGCTGCATGACAATGCAAAAGGAAAGAACAGATTAGAAGAGATTATGATTGAGTATCATGGTTAGCACAGGAATCCAGAATTAAGATTGCATAGAGAAGTGTACTTGGAGTGGGGGCAGGGGGGAAAGGGACGTGGGAATTGTATACTAATGAAGGAATTTCTTTTTCTTTTTTTCTCTCTTCGGAGGGGGAAGCAAGCTGGTGGGGAGGAGTGGGCAGGGAGAAAATTGCGGCAATGAATGAATGGAAATCCAAAACCTCTGTAAAAAAAAAAACAAACCAAAACAAAACACAATTGATAGGCTTCAGTGATTCTTCCAGAAGAGCTGTGGGTGAGAATTAACATTACTGGTAAGTATATTCATTTTCTCCTGGACACAAGAGCCTACTATTTGTTCCTAAAAGCCTTCTGAGGTCCCAACCCTTCTCACTATTTCTTAATTGTTGGAAT